TTACTGTGGCGTAGCATTTTTTTAATCATTATTTACTCAAAATCAATTTCTTATCTCGTAAGATGATTTTAATAGCTTAGCCCCCATATATACTTTAACCATTTTAAACTAACAAACTTAGTAAATATCACATTAATTATTATTTAATTATCATATTATGAAGTCTTTATAAGACATTAATATAGTTTATCATTTGTATATTTACAAGTAAATTTATTAAATTTGTTTAATTATATTTTTTTTAAAATTATTAATAATAAAAATTTGATGATTTTTATTTGATTTTTAATATTAATTATTAAATAAGAAAATTTAAAATGATTTTTACAAATAGATTTTTATTATAATATTTATATCTATTATTACTAATATTACTATTAATATAATCCTATACTTAACTAGTTTTATGATTTGTAAGTTGTATATATTTGATAATAAATATATTAATAAAAGATAATTAATAAAGAATAAAATGATAATTATAATAGAAAGATATTAACAATTGATTAGTATCATATTATTATATAAAGAATTGAAAAAAAAGATTATTCAAAATATAAAAAAAGATGTTTGAGAAATAAAAATTTATAAGAAATAACAGATACTGAATTTAAAAATTACTAAAATTGGTTATAATTATATGAATATATAATTTGTATATGAACATGTAATATTATTTATATTATATATCAAAAAAAATTCTGATTTTAAAATACTTAATAAAAATAAAAAAAACAGAAGTGTAATATAATATAATAAAATTTTATTAAGTTAATAATTCACTTAAATATTAGTTTTTTAAAATTGATTTTTTTCCAAATCCTTTTATTCTATATAAATAAATTATTCTTTTTCAAAAAAAATTTAATTATATATATATATTAAAGAATTTGTTAATAATTTATAAATTACACAAAAAAAATATTACCATTTTTTTTGCATACACCTATCTTTTTCTTTCCTTTATCTATCTTATAATAAAACTTTAGGTATTTTTATATTATTTTTAAATATTATTATTGCTACCACTACCACTAAATGTTAATGGATTACAAAATAATAAATTGAAAATCAAGATTGTATTTTATGTTTAATAGAACTGTTTCTGATATTATTTAATTTTTAGCAATTGATAACATACCAATAATCTATTTTATTACTATCTAAAAAATTTTCAATATAGCAATTTGATTGGAACCGATTATGTACTACTACTACTAATTGTCAATAATTATTTACAATTGGTTAATATTTGATATTCAAAAAATGCTAACTCAATAAATATATTGTTTTCAGTTATCTTGCAAATTTGCAAATTATAATTTACCTTGATCTTAAACTTCGTAAAGAAACACGGTCGGGAGAAGCTTCTAATTAAAAGATAAACCATGGTAAATAATATTATCTTTATAATTAAATCAATCATAGCTAGAATTTACTTTATTTACCTTGAATATTTCTTATAAAATCTATGATGTCTCTTAGTTGTTCTAATTCGTAGTCATCTAAAGGATCCGGTGCCTCGTTATAATAACGAAGCAAAGAATTCTCAAATTTGTTGAACGCATTTCTACCAACTGCATCAAGCAATGGTTTTTTCTGTAATACAAAACAATAAATAATAATGAGTTTTAACAGAATTAAAATAGCAACAATTTTACATACCTTTTTTAAATTTCCAGTCAGCAAAGTAAGTTTTTTAAATCGTATGATACCAGTAGACTCATTAATATTTAATTTATTGAGTATTTGACTGTATAATTTTCTAACTTCCTCTAAAAAAATTATTTTTAAGAAATAAAAAGCTTAAAATTTACTTGATACATATGACATCACGCTTTAATTCTTTGTATACTTACTGTTCGTTTCCGAGAAAAGTTCCTTAATGATATCAATGGCGATATCAGCATGCGCTCCATAATCTATTACCTCCTCATTTTGTTCCGATTTTCTTATAATGAGTAAAAATATTAATAACCTTGTAATTATAAGTCTTTAGAAAAATACCACCAAATCCATAGAATCACTCACATAACTTTATAAGGGTCTGTCCAGTCAATTAATTGTTGCGCTATTTGCATAGGTGGTATCGATTCTTTGTCCTTGAGTTGTCTGCGTTCTTCGATCAAGTCCGTTAAAGATGAAACACATATCTAATTATAATTAATTAGTAACATTTCTTTTATATTATTGTCAATTATATATAATGATTCCTTAGAGATTATTTACCTCTTGCATTAAGCGTTGATTTTCAACTGACGAATGACAATATAGGGGAAGGAAGTAACTCAAGCATTGCCGTAAGCGAAAATTATTTGCAGTTTCAACATCAAAATATAACATTACAAGTTCTTTTAATACCTAAATTGAATCATTTAAAAAAAAACTTTTTTAGGTTCTATCGAAAATTTGCGTAAAGATAAAATTACTAACCGCTTTTTCGCATATCATTTTAGTAAACATAAGTTTAGATATGCCTTCAACTGCAACTGCTTGAACTTGTGGATTTGCTTGATGAAGACAATCATACAGCAAATCCAATATTTCACTACCCTAAAAATATTAATCAAACCATTTAATTAATTAATATATAAATCAATTAAATTTTGCGAGCACACATTTTGACTTACATTATTCGTATTATCAACGATTGAAGGATAACTGTATAAAAATAAAATGTCCAATATCACCTAAAATATAAATATTTCAATATTTTGCGGATAATAATATAAAATAAAAAATGACATCCAAATTAATAATACCATAAGAGCTTTAGCTTGCAGTTCTGGATGCCCATGTCTTACACAATGCATGAAAAGACTAAGGTTTTCCTTCATTAATTGCTGAAGAAAAGTAAAACGAATTAGAAATTTTGTACATATAAAATTTTATCACACAAATGTATTACTTACTTGGTCAAGTAAACAACTTAATCCAAGACATTGAACACTAATCTCACGTAATAATGGCTCCTGACGTTTTATATTTGGTGTTATAAAGTCGTTCAGAAGACCATACATGGAAGGGTTATCACGTAAACCCTTTAAGAAAGTATATGTTTATCTTTTTATTCATGACATTGATAATTAAAAACAAAATAATTTTAACTTACGACTTCATTTCTTTCAAGTATACAGCGTACAATATGCAAACATTTTAAATTAGTTATCAAGGACGCTAATTCATTTTCTTCATCATCAATAGGGGAAGTGGAATCTATCGACATTCTTCTTTCTGATCTCGTTTCGGAAACTAAAGATTTTCTCACTGAAGACATACTTATACTAAGATTAGACATATTGACCACAAGCTCTTCCTCAGCCTAAATATACCAATATGTCAAGAAGTATGTTCAAGTTAAAAAAAGGGAAGTAAGTTGCATGATCAAACCTGAAATTTCTGCCTCAATGGATCATTGAAGTCTTCAATTGTTTCCCGAATATCAGATAGAATTTCAATCATGGAACTAAATTATCCACAAAATTAATATAACATATCATAATTGAATTTATTAAAACAATAAATCAATAAAATTATAATACACAACCGAGTAAAATCCCGTTCGTCAATTGAAATTTTTTTCATAATTTCCACAACACTTTTAATATGACCCTCTGGGATATGTTCCATCATAAGTATCTCGCCTAAAGATATTGAAATATAATTAATGTTTGTTCTTTTTAATAATAATTTGAAATAAATAAAGGAAATAGATTTTATTACGAAGAAGAGTGAACATTTGACGCCTTCCAACTTCATCACCGTAATTCAATAGCTTTGAAATTAAGAGCAATTGACCAACAAGAAACTCATAATTTACTTGTTCATCATCCAATGCTTGATTCATTAAATTGGTATATTTTTGAATATATAAAGCAAATTTTGTGACTTCTGGTAAAAGTTCATCAAGTTTATTTTCATCCTAGATAAATGAAAATCATCTATATATAAATAATTTATTTATCCAAAAAAAAACCCCCATGGTAATACCATACCTCTTTGTTGAATTCACAATATACTCGTGCAAGAAAAACGGACTCAATAGTTAGATTTTCCCAAAATGATCCTATTAAATAGTTAAAAAAAGGTTAACCATTATAACTTTGTTTGATTTACTTTCACAATTATGAATAATGTTCCAACCATCAAAATTCAAGGTTTGTATAATGTCTGGGCGGGATTTAAAGAGTGCCACAAGGACATCTGGAGCAATTTTACTATTCAAAACGTCAATTCGCTCAAGTAACTAAAAATATTAACGTAATTAATTATCTTATAATTCGCGCCAAAAATCAAACGAATCTGATATGTATTTGATACCTCTAAAAAATTATCATTTGCGTGTTTGATCCATCCATTAGCAAGCATATTTGAACAAGCCTTTTTAACTTGAGGGTCCCTATGTTATAAATGATATTTTATAATTCTTAATAAAATATAAGTCAAATATTATATTTTTAATTATTTAAATATTTTACCTATCAGTAAGACCAAGATTTAGCAAATTTTCTCGAGCTTCGATGGATAAGACACGGAAATCACCTATCTCTTCCGTTGATCTTGTATAAACATTACAACGAATACTTGCATCAATATCTCTCGCGCGATTAAATATGTGAGGAATAGTTTTTTCACTAAATTCAATATTTAGCAACACAGCACGTCGAACTTCCCTAGTAATGGCATGGTGTCAGCATAAATGAGTCAATATACATAACAGATACTTTATAAAAGTTTATAATTACGCGTTAGGATCATTTTTCATTATTCCAAGCAATTTTTCGGTGACATCCTTTTCAATTTCTTTATCACCCTACATCAATAAATATCATCAATTTATCTGCAACAATACAAATTGACATGATAATCGACTAATAACTTACCAGTAACTTGGAAAATGCTTCGACTGCACAGACACGAATAGATGCTTCTTTGTCAAATAATCGTTTAGACAATTCATCCTTCAAATATTCATACAAATCACCACTAATAAAAGAAGTTTGTTAAGCATTATATTGAGTTTACATATCTTATTAACACAAATATTAATGTAATCCTTACTCAACAGTTTCAATCGAATTCATTATAAGGGCAATAAGTTTGCAAACGCGAAATCTAACATTTTTATCATTGGATTCAGTACCTTTCAGTAAATGTCTAAATAAAAATTCTGTAAAAGATGATAATGTATCACTATCATCGAAAGAGCTGTGAGATACATCGTCATTCCTATTGTCGCTTTCGTTTTCTTTTAATAAAAAGGAATTGATTGTTATTACGCGTTTTACTTTACAAGGTTCCAGGAAAAAAAATATATATATGTATTTATATATACCTTTTTCACGACAATATTTTATAAATGTAGCTACGAACGCAATGACGCGCTGTGCAGTCGCCTGACCTTTTTTCATTGGCAATATTTTATTTAGATTCCTAACAAACTCTTTATTAAATTCGACTTCACCAAGATTATCAGTATCACTGCCGATACTGTCTCTAGAAGAACGTGAGACTTGGTTAAAAGTTGAGCATCGAAGCTGAAACTTCCGCAGAACTGCGGCATTTTTCCGGTGGTTGGTAACGGTCTTTTGGACCTCTTGAAAAATTTGAGGAATAAAAAGTAATAAAGACGATAGGGAGGTTTCTCGGACAGGCATTTTTCTTTGAAGGATTTTTTTACGCGTCTTTTTCTAATTAAAAAATATAGAAGCGGATTTTCGTGAAAGTCGGGAATAAATCCTGATCTGACTTACTGAACGCTTATCTGTAGGGGTCCTCTAGGTTCACAGGGGTTGAAGTTTTATGCGCAAATTATCGTATTGAGGAAATTCGTTGTATTTGACTTTTTAAGAAAATAGATATATATATATTTTTTTTATTAATTTTCCATTTATAAGATATTATATCATAAAAGAATATTTTTTTTTTTTTTTTTACAAACCATATTTTTATAATTTCTTGAAATTTTTCATTATATAAAATAATTAATATATCAAAATTTTTTGATAGATAATAATAATTTAAAATTAGTATATTAAAATTATTTAACCCGTAAATTTAAATTCTAATGCAATTGTTTTACTATCTTAAATTCTATAAAATAAGCTTATTTATATTTAATATTTGTATTTTATAACTAAAAAAAAATAAAATAAATTCTTGATATAGATATTTGAATAAACTGATGTTACTAATATTATTATATCTTACCAAAATAAGAAATTTTTAAACTGAAATATTAGTAAATAATTTTTCAATAATTATATCAGTAATTTTATAATAGCTAAGATTTAAGATATTAAAGCTTTAGATAAAAATAAATAACATAATTTATAAATTTAATATATATAAATTTTTAATTTCTTATATTTAAATACTTTAATTTATTATAATTATAAGTTATTTCTATAGATTATTTAGGTTAAGATACTTTAGATTAGAATATTAATAAGATTATTATTATTATTTTTTTTTTAAAAAAAAATTATATTTAAATAATTTGAATATAATTTTATAATATCTTTAATTTTTGTATAATAGTATGTAATTTTAAAATGAGTATAGTATAAATTATAATTTGATTTCTATTTCTTATATATTAATTTATAAATTTATTTACTTTATAAATATGATTCTTTAACTTGATATATCTTTATAAATTATAAATATTATATTTATATATTGATTTATTGTTAAAATATAAAATTATTTCTAATAGTTTAGTAAATTAATTGTTTAATACAATGTAAAAGTGGGGTTTAAGGACTGAAAGTCCAGCCTCTTACTGAAACATTGTATGTGTGAGCCATAGAACATTAAAAATAATATCAATTTTTCTTATTATATTAGAAGAGCTTCTATCAGCTTTAGAATCTTAATTTTGATATTATATTTCTTAATTCTATGTAGGTTTTCTAACCTCAGAAAGCATATCGATTTTTATTAATATATTAGAAAAGCTTCTAACAGTTCTAGAATCTTAATTTCTATATCAACTTTTCAGTTATATCTGTTAAGTCTAACGAAAATATATATATCAAGGCCTGTCTCTATACGCATTTACTCAATAAATAGTATAATGATTAAATAAATCTAACGAAAAGTTGTTCTAATTTTTTTCAAAATATGCCATTCTATAAAATAAGTCTAACCGACTATTATAAGTCTAATAAATATGTATGCTAATATCTGTTTCTATGCATATTAGTCTATTAAATCTCTTTTTATCTATCATATAAGCCTAACAAAAAATGGTACAATTCTCTCTATAATAAGTCTAACCAAAATTGTGAATAAAGAACTGATTTTACGCAGGCTAGTTCCTTAACTAACATGTTTTATATAAAAGTCTAATGAAAATAACTTCTGTAAAAATCCAGAAAAATCTGCAGAATTATCCTAACTTTCTTTAGTTAAGAACAGGTTTTACACAAGATAGTTTGTTAAATAGTATATAAATCATAAACTTTTAACGAAATAAAAAGTAATTCTAATGAAAATTTAGCAAATATCTATCAAATATTCCTCCTAATTCTAGCAAAATTTAGGTAAAGAGTTAGCCGAAATAATCTTTCTATTTATTCTGACTGACATATATCATAATATTCTTCCTCTTCTAATGAATAGAGTAATCCTTACAAAGAGAAATATTAAAATTTGCAAACGCATCTCTATGAACAAGCATTATTCTCTCATAAGTTTTTTCTTGTGTTTCAGATCGAAGTCTTTTACGTATCTCTGATTGAAGCCTTTCTTGTATCTTCAATCGAAGACTTTCTGATCAAAACCTATTATAAAACTGGATAATATAATAATCTCTGATATAATCTAGGCATCGGTCACAAGCAGAAACTGTAGGTTTTCTACAATCAGAGCATAATACTCGTTTCTTAACTTTTCAATGAAACTGGTATCCTTCAGAATGAATGCAAAGATTTTCATAAGTCTTTCCAGTATTGCAAAGATATGGACAGGAATATTCACTAATTATCCTATTTTATATCACTAAATATTAAAAGAATAATTAATAAATAGTTAATACTTCAGTTTCAGAAAGATAGCTAAAACTATTTTGGTAAACTGCAATCACCATTTTCAGTGATCAAAAAGTGAAAGAAATAAGAAATAATTAATTAAAGAAAAAATTTTATAAACAAGTAATAGTGTAACGGTTAGAGCTAATACTATGGTTAGAAAATCAAGAAGTGATAAGAAAAATACAATCTGTAAATGTTGTGGTCATGAATGCTTAATACCCTAAAAACTTCATGAGCAACTTAAAAGAAAAAATTCATGTAAACTATTACAAGATCAAAAGGATATAACTTCTTCTATTCAAGTAATAGTACCAATTCAAGTACCCGATGTTCAAAAAACCAACTAACAGCCCTTTTAAAAAACTATCTAAGAACCTGTTTAAGGGTTATTCAAGAGCCTATTCAAGAACCTATTTAAACATCTGTTCAAACCTCTAGTAAAATATCCGAAAAAAATACTTCATTCAAAAATTCTAATATCGAATGGAACTATCAGAATGTGAAAAGAAAATTAGGTACTTATAAAAACTTGCAACAGAAAATATGCTGTAGGCCTGATAAGTTTTATAGAAAACATTTTTACTTAGAGATGAAAAAAGAGGGCAATAAACCATATACAGGTATAATTACATCAAAATGGAGTATGTTTTAAATTCTGTATTTTAATATTTATAATGAGATTTTGATAGAAAAAGAAAAGGTTATATAGATAAAAAAGGTATTGTAGCTGAAATTCGTAAAGAAATATTTTTAGAAAATAATAGAGATACCCCTGTTCAAATTTTGATGTTTCCATTATTCCAGTTACAAAGCCTGCTCAAAAATAGATTAATCTTAATGTCTGAAAACCTGGTGAGTATTTTAGGACATAGAGAGTAAGATTGCGAAAAAGGTATATGGATCTTATGGTAAAAGATCCTGGCAAATCAAAAAGCTTGAATAATTGTAAGGTTTTTTATCATGATTTAATATAATATGATCTGCTTGTATTACCTCCTTCACCAACTGAAGAGGAAAATTTTAAGGTGAATATGATGATTAAAGAAAATATTCTTAATCCAGAGACTGGTCTAGATCCAGCAATTCAACTTGATAGAAAAAAGCAAATGATGAAGAATTCAAACGTTTGGGGAAAAATTACTAGTAAATAAAAAAGAGACCTAGAATTTAGGAAACAAGAAGAATTAAGAATAGCAGTTAAAAGAAGAGCTATAGCAATGCATCATGCAAAAGTTCATAAATCTTATCCTGATAATAGAAGTGATATACAAAAATTTTTAGAAAGCCAAAAAAAGCAATTTAGAGAATTACTTGAAAAAGAATTTGATAAGTGTGAACAATTCAAGTTTGCTTTATATTCATTAGGTAAATTTCTTATAGAAGATAAGCCTAGAAATGAAAACAAAAAAAGTACAAGAAGTGATTAGTTATAAAATAAACAAATTATAGTATAGAATCGAGCTAAAATTAATGATTATTTAAGCAATGCTTTTGAACAAATAATATATCTAGTAGAAGAAAGAGGAGGTAAGTCTAATGCTTAAGTATCTATTAAGGGGGTAATTGTACATCTTTTATAATTTGAAGTTCTTTTCTTATAAATGAGCATCTAGAACCATTGTAAAGCTTATAAAGAACAGGTTGGTTTTTTTTTATCAAATAAGAATCAATTGTAAAAACTTTGGAAGACTAATTACAATTAATTGCTCTTCTTCTACTATCTTCTAATTCACCAGATTCTAAAAGGTGATAAACTTCCATATAATTAGTTAAAAGAGATTCATTATAATCAACTGGTCTCCTATGTTCAACAGAAGGTCTAGCTATTATTTTTTTACCTTTTAATGCCTTTTTTACAACCTTGTTAGAAGACATAGTTATTAACTGAGTAGGAATATTATTGTAAATATTATCATTTATATGAAGTCCTTTAACCTATATTCTGGATCTATCAGCCAAAAGCAAATGAAAATCTTCAGCATCTTACTGAAAATAAGCATGTTTTTCAAATTTTTGATGGTCACATTCAGTAATAGCTACACTATATTTAGAGTTAGCATACTGAATTTTTACACTATGTCTAAGTAATAAATTCTTATATTCACCTATAAACTCAGTATCTCTATCAATGATTAAAATATTTGGCCAAATAAGAAGGCAATTTGGATTATCATAAATTTTTAGAAATGCCTTGACCACTTGTGCAGATAGAGTTCCAAATGAGTCAAGTCGTGTCGAGTTTAAAGACCAACTCTATTCGACTCGTTTTTTTCAAGTCGAGTCGAGTCAAATTTATTTTATAAAATTTTT